TGGATCCAGCCTCGTGTCACCTCACTGCTGTTGGCAACCAGCCAGGAGGGACACGGGTCCAGTATGCAGGTGGAGGCATATATATTATCCAATTATCCAATATACAGATGGATAAAGGATGAAATACTATATGTGGTCAAAAGAGTTAAAATTTACATTATATTATTGTCAGGCCAAAGCAATAGATCAACATGTGAAGAGTTCAAGTTGACTACTTATTGCACTTCTATTTATAATGCAGGAATCTCCCTATCCTGCTTGCCTTCTCTGGGAACAGCGAGATAACATTTTATGGAGGTGGGGGTGGGGGGAGGTCAGTCCTGGATCTTCTGCAGCTATGCAATGATTTAAGGCTAACTCCCCACTTGATTCCTCCTCTTTGCCTGGCTGAGCATTTATGATAAGCGAAATTTTATAAAATGATGTATCGTTGGTACATGATGCCACAAAATTTATCTACTGTAGAATACATAAAGACATTCCAAATGTTCTGTATGTTAGAAATGTGAAAAAACATGTAAAACTTAAAAAAATTGAATTCAAATATGAACATTGATATAGAGGATTTTAAAAATTAATATTCAACTGAAGCCAGAGCTTTTTCCTTTTAGGACTGATGGATGATATACAGTTTGAGAAGATTTGTGGAAAATTATTTCATTGCATTATTACTGCAGTGAGATTATTCTGAGCACAAACATAGATTGATCTAATCTTAGAGGGATTTGATTAACATTATATGTATAAAATTATATGTATAACAGCCAAGAGAAAGATTGGAATCTATTTAATACATTTTACCGTATTTTTTGTTATTTTTTCTTTTCTTTCTTTCTTTTTGGTTCTTTTTTTTCTTTTTCACATCTATATTTTTTCTTTGAATCAATATAGATATAGATATATAGATATAGATATATAGATATATATAGTAATCAAAATTATTTTTTAAAAACCAAATAATTAAACTGCTAATGATTTCTTGGCTTTTTTTGGTATTTATATTTGTTTTAAGCCAATTGTAGGATTCTCTCTGCAGTATTTTAAGCATATTCTGCCTCTAGAAATCAGCAACATAGTTGAAAAGGATCCTGTGGGCTATTAAAAATACGGTTTGGGTAATGCCAGCAATTGATGGGATTTTTTTTTTCTCTGTCATCAGATAGTTTGCTCTGGCAAAAAGATAAAATGGACTGGGGTCCTCTACTTATTTTTTTTCAGGAAAGTCTAAAACCCTTAGATGCCATGGTTGTTTCCCATGCCTGCTCCTAACCAAACTATTGAGCACTTTTTGCAAGACCAGCTAGTTAAAACCAAAATGAATAAGAGAGCAGGAATTGTTAATATCATTAGAAATTGAATGTATTATCTGGTCTTTTCTCTGAGAGCCAGGTCAGATGGAACTTGAACCTTGGACATCCCAATCTTCAGTCTAACAGTTTCACCATTGTGATAAATTACCTTACTATGGAAACCAATTGCTAATTTAAAGGAAGAATTAACAATTATATCTTTATGCGTAGATGTACTCTAATCTTTCCTTCAGTAGGCATCTGTTGTTGCTGGGAAAGAGAGAACAGGAAATTTACCTTTTGGTGTTAAAATCTCCAGTTATTTAGAAGGTTGTTTGTCTTCATGCTTAAATTCTGTGCTGCTCAAACAACATAACAGAATAACACAATTGGAGGGGACCTTGGAGGTCTTTTAGTCCAAGTCGCTGCTCAAACAGCAAAAACTATACCATTTCAGACAAGTGGCTGTCCAGTCTCTTCTTTAACATCTCCAGTGATGGAACACCTACAACTTCTGGAGGCATATCGTCCCACTGATTAATTGTTTTAATTGTCAGGAAATTTTTCCTCAGTTCTAGGCTGGTTCATAAGTGGATGAAGAAAGAAAGCAAAGAATCTATCTGACTTTGCCCACCGTGGAGTTCCCTGGATTACTCTGTCTCTTTTGTTGAATAAGAGTGATATGCTTTTAGCTCTGAACATGTCCACCATCCATATCAGCTTCACATACCAATAATATATGGAACCAATCAACCAATGGAACAGCTTGCATTCAGAAGTTGTGGGAGCTTCATCACTGGAAGCTTTCAAGAAGAGACTGGGCGGCCATTTGTCAGAAATGGTGTAGGGTCTCCTGCTTGGGTGGGTGTTGGTGGTGTTGGACTAGAAGACCTACAAGGTCCCTTCCAACTCTATTAATCTGTTAATATAACCCTTGACAAATTAATGAATGGGATGCATCTCTCAGCTTCTACCAGGGCTTAAGTGCTGATTGTTTTTCCCATCTTCAGTGTTTTTTGGAGAGCCAGCAACATTACTTTTGTTTTGTTTTGTAATTCCAAGCTAGCCAATTTTCCCCAAAACATTGCTCCTTTCTTCCTCTGCAGTACTGCCCTGGAGGAGAGCTCTTTGATTACATAATTGCAAAGGACCGTTTAGCTGAAGATGAAGCCCGCATCTTCTTTCGTCAGATTGTAGCTGCAATTGCCTACGTACACAGCCAGGGATTTGCTCACAGGGACCTCAAACCAGTAAGTGTAGACAGCAGTAGCCTACTGTTCCTGGAATAATAAGATGAATCTACATTGGCGCTGCTGGTTTTATTTCTATTTAGAAACCTGCAGCCAAAGAACTACATGACAGCTTCAGGCCAATTTATAAAAAGCCTCAATGACAGCACATCTGTTGCTCCTTGGCTGGCATTAGAAATCACGAATGCCTTCTGAGTTCAAGGCTCTCTGATCTGCCACCCATGGGCTTCCCAACTTTGTCTGCCTAGTCTTTCTTATTAAACTTCCAGCTTTTTCTTGGCTCCTCTCTTTGCCTCACTTCTCCATGCCCATTTCTCCTCCTCCTCCACTTTTAGTTTCACTTAATAAAGCCTACAATCTTTTCTCATTTTTTAACTAGCCCTCTTTTGGCCTTGGTCCATTGTCTTATCTGCCTGGCTTCAAACTTTTATTTCATTTCCTCTTCCTTTGTTTTCCCCAATCCAGTGTCTGCTTTGTTGTCTCTTCCTAGAGCAGTTTCTCAACATTATCAACTTTAAGGTAGGCGGACTTCAGACCCAGAATATCAATTATGGGAGTTAGAAGTCACACATCTTTACGTTGCCAAGGATGAGAAGCACTGCCCTAGGGAAAGACTCATATTTCCCAGACTTCTGACCCTCCAAAACCTCTTCCTACATCTTTACATTCTCTTTTTGCAAGATCTCAAATGTCAGCTAAGCCAGCTGATCATGTTTTGTATGTATAGGTGTGCATTTGATTGAACTGAAACTTTGAGGCTTTCTTGGAAGGAGTCACCTTTACTGCCCATAGTTACTCTTATGCTTCATTGTACTTGTTCTAACCTGTCATTGTTCTTCTTGTAGGAAAACTTGTTGATTGATGCTGAGCATAATTTGAAGTTGATAGACTTTGGTCTTTGTGCAAAACCAAGGGTGAGTATAAGCTTAATTTTGCTAGAATTTCTTTGCCAAAAAATAAATTAAAAAAAAATACCAGACAATATCAGTCTGAATAAGGAGATAAGTCTCCTGTCAGGGGTTCCAAATAACATCCAAAATTAAAGTATTGCTCAAAGTTGCAATTTATTAAGAGAGTCGTGTTTGCGCATCTGTGAAAACCCGAATCTGAGCTTCCTGGTTTTCCCCACCCAGTTGAGAGTAAATGATCTTGCCTCAACACCCACAAGTCCATCACACGGTCCAATCTCCCACTGCCATGCTGGCAGTTCCACCCATCCAGTTCTGGTCAGGTGCAGAGGTGTAGAGACAAAGGATGACCTTGG